CACCTACACACTACCTACACACTACCAACACGCCACTGACACGCCACCTACACACTACCTACACACTACCGACACGCCACTGACACGCCACTGACACACTACCTACACACTACCTACATGCCACTGACACGCCACTGACATGCCACTGACATGCCACTGACACGCCACTGACACGCCACTGACACGCCACTGACACGCCACTGACACGTGACCTACACACTACCTACACACTACTGACACGCCACTGACATGCCACTGACACGCCACTGACACGTGACCTACACACTACCTACACACTACTGACACGCCACTGACATGCCACTGACACGCCACTGACACGTGACCTACACACTACCGACACGCCACTGACATGCCACTGACATGCCACTGACACGCCACTGACATGCCACTGACACGCCACTGACACGCCACTGACACGCCACTGACACGAGACGTACACACTACCTACACACTACTGACACGCCACTGACACGCCACTGACACGCCACTGACACGCGACCTACACACTACCCACACGCCACTGACACGCCACTGACATGCCACTGACACGCCACTGACACACGACCTACACACTACCTACACACTACTGATACGCCACTGACATGCCACTGACACGCCACTGACACACTACCTACACACTACCTACACACTACTGACACGCCACTGACACACTACCTACACACTACCTACACACCACTGACACACTACCTACACGCCACTGACACGCCACTGACATGCCACTGACACGCCACTGACACACTACCTACACACTACCTACACACTACTGACATGCCACTGACACGCCACTGACACGCGTCGCCGCTCTCTCCTGCAGGTTTCGGTGTCTCTCCTCTGCCTCTCTCTCCTCTCCCTGGCTCACCCCTCGTACCTCTACGTCCACAGCCAGCGCAGAGACCCATAGACACCCTCACACATAGACACCCTCACACATAGACACCCTCACACATAGACACCCTCACACATAGACACACATAGACACACATAGACACCCTCACACATAGACACCCTCACACATAGACACACTCACACATAGACACCCTCACACATAGACACACATAGACACACATAGACACACATAGACACCCTCACACATAGACACCCTCACACATAGACACACATAGACACACACATAGACACCCTCACACATAGACACCCTCACCATAGACACCCTCACACATAGACACCCTCACACATAGACACCCTCACACATAGACACCCTCACACATAGACACCCTCACACATAGACACCCATAGACACCCTCACACATAGACACACATAGACACACATAGACACACATAGACACACATAGACACCCATAGACACCCTCACACATAGACACACATAGACACACAGATAGACACACATAGACACACATAGACACACATAGACACCCTCACACATAGACACACATAGACACACATAGACACACATAGACACACATAGACACCCATAGACACCCTCACACATAGACACACATAGAGACCCATAGAGACCCATAGACACCCTCACTCATAGACACACATAGAGACCCATAGAGACCCATAGACACCCTCACTCATAGACACACATAGAGACCCATAGAGACCCATAGACACCCTCACTCATAGACACACATAGAGACCCATAGAGACCCATAGACACCCTCACTCATAGACACCCTCACTCATAGACACACATAGAGACCCATAGAGACCCATAGACACCCTCACACATAGACACCCTCACTCATAGACACACATGGAGACCCTCACTCATAGACACACATAGAGACCCTCACTCATAGACACCCATAGACACCCATAGAGACCCATAGACACACATAGAGACCCATAGACACCCTCACACATAGACACACATAGACACCCTCACACATAGACACACATAGACACCCTCACACATAGACACACATAGAGACCCTCACACATAGACACACATAGAGACCCTCACTCATAGACACCCATAGACACCCATAGAGACCCATAGACACCCATAGACACCCTCACTCATAGACACCCTCACTCATAGACACCCTCACTCATAGACACACATAGACACCCTCACTCATAGACACCCTCACTCATAGACACCCTCACTCATAGAGACCCTCACTCATAGACACCCTCACACATAGACACCCTCACTCATAGACACACATAGACACACATTGACACCCATAGAGACCCTCACACATAGACACACATAGACACACATAGACACACATAGAGACCCATAGACACCCTCACACATAGACACCCTCACACATAGACACCCTCACACATAGAGACCCATAGACACCCTCACTCATAGAGACCCTCACTCATAGACACCCTCACACATAGAGACCCATAGACACCCTCACTCATAGAGACCCTCACTCGTAGACACCCTCACACATAGACACCCTCACTCATAGACACATAGACACCCTCACTCATAGAGACCCTCACTCATAGACACCCTCACACATAGAGACCCATAGACACCCTCACTCATAGAGACCCTCACTCATAGACACCCTCACACATAGAGACCCTCACTCATAGACACCCATAGAGACCCTCACTCATAGACACACATAGACACCCATAGAGACCCTCACACATAGACACACATAGAGACCCATAGACACACATAGACACACATAGACACCCTCACTCATAGACACACATAGACACCCATAGAGACCCTCACTCATAGACACCCTCACACATAGACACCCATAGAGACTCATAGACACCCTCACACATAGACACCCATAGAGACCCTCACTCATAGACACCCATAGAGACCCATAGACACCCATAGAGACCCATAGACACCCATAGAGACCCTCACACATAGACACCCATAGAGACCCTCACTCATAGACACCCTCACAAATAGACACCCATAGAGACCCATAGACAACCCATAGACACCCATAAGACCCATAGACACCCTCCACCCATAGAGACCCATAGACACCCTCACTCATAGACACCCATAGAGACCAATAGACACGCTCACCCATAGACACCCATAGAGAACCCTCACACATAGACACCCATTAGAGACCCTCACACATAGACACCCATAGAGACCCATAGACAACCTCACACATAGACACCCTATAGAGACCCTCACTCATAGACCCCTCACCCATAGACACCCTCACCCCATAGACACCCATAGACACCCTCACTCATAGAGACCCTCACACATAGACACCCTCACACATAGAGACCCATAGACACCCTCACTCATAGAGGACCCTCACACATAGGACACCCTCACACATAGACACCCATAGAGACCCATAGACACCCTCACTCATAGAGACCCATAGAGACCCTCACTCATAGACACCCTCACTCATAGACACCCTCACTCATAGAGACCCATAGACACCCTCACTCATAGAGACCCTCACTCATAGACACCCTCACTCATAGACACCCTCATTCATAGACACCCTCACACATAGACACCCATAGAGACCCATAGACACCCATAGAGACCCTCACTCATAGACACCCTCACTCATAGACACCCTCACCCATAGACACCCATGGAGACCCTCACTCATAGACACCCTCACCCATAGAGACTCATAGACACCCTCACCCATAGACACCCTCACCCATAGACACCCATGGAGACCCTCACTCATAGACACCCTCACCCATAGAGACTCATAGACACCCTCACCCATAGACACCCTCACTCATAGACACCCTCACTCATAGACACCCTCACTCATAGAGACCCTCACACATAGAGACCCTCACTCATAGAGACCCTCACCCATAGACACCCTCACCCATAGACACCCTCACTCATAGACACCCTCACTCATAGACACCCTCACTCATAGACACCCTCACCCATAGACACCCTCACTCATAGAGACCCTCACTCATAGACACCCTCACTCATAGACACCCTCACTCATAGAGACCCATAGACACCCTCACTCATAGACACCCTCACCCATAGACACCCTCACCCATAGAGACGCATAGACACCCTCACTCATAGACACCCTCACTCATAGACACCCTCACCCATAGAGACTCATAGACACCCTCACCCATAGACACCCTCACTCATAGACACCCTCACTCATAGACAACCCTCACTCATAGAGACCCTCACTCATAGAGACCCTCACTCATAGAGACCCTCACCCATAGACACCCTCACCCATAGACACCCTCACTCATAGACACCCTCACTCATAGACACCCTCACCCATAGACACCCTCACTCATAGAGACCCTCACTCATAGACACCCTCACTCATAGACACCCTCACTCATAGACACCCTCACTCATAGAGACCCATAGACACCCTCACTCATAGAGACCCTCACTCATAGAGACCCTCACCCATAGACACCCTCACCCATAGACACCCTCACTCATAGACACCCTCACTCATAGACACCCTCACTCATAGACACCCTCACTCATAGACACCCTCACTCATAGAGACCCATAGACACCCTCACTCATAGACACCCTCACCCATAGACACCCTCACCCATAGAGACTCATAGACACCCTCACTCATAGAGACCCTCACTCATAGACACCCTCACTCATAGACACCCTCATTCATAGAGACCCATAGACACCCTCACTCATAGAGACCCTCACTCATAGACACCCTCACTCATAGACACCCTCACTCATAGAGACCCATAGACACCCTCACTCATAGAGACCCATAGACACCCTCACTCATAGAGACCCATAGACACCCTCACTCATAGAGACCCTCACTCATAGACACTCTCACTCATAGAGACCCTCACTCATAGAGACTCATAGACACCCTCACTCATAGAGACCCTCACTCATAGAGACCCTCACTCATAGACACCCTCACTCATAGACACCCTCACGCATAGAGACCCTCACTCATAGAGACCCATAGACACCCTCACTCATAGACACCCTCACTCATAGAGACCCTCACTCATAGAGACCCATAGACACCCTCACTCATAGAGACCCTCACCCATAGACACCCTCACTCATAGAGACTCATAGACGCCCTCACTCATAGAGACCCTCCCCCATAGACACCCTCACTCATAGACACCCTCACTCATAGAGACCCTCACCCAAAGACAACAACAACCGCCATTCGCCACTAAGTGGCGGTGACGTCACCACGACGCTTGTGCCAGGCCACGTGCACCTTGAGGCCACGTGAAGTGTCGAACGCCCGCTGGCAGGAGGTCACGGGGCAGACCCAGGTGCCACGGGTCGACTGACTGAGATGAGTGGCTGATGCACCACCTGTGCCCCCTACTGTGCCAACCTGCTGTGCTTTAGCCACCCGGCGCTCCGCTCGTTGTTGTGAGCCTCGCTCCTCCGCCCTCCGTTGTTGTTGGAGGGCGACTGCCTCCAACTGCCCAGTAGCGTCCTTCACGAGCCTCCTCCACAGAGGCCGATCTTGACACCGCTGGTACAGTCATCGGCAAGTCCACTCAGCTCCACGTCCTCCTGTACCACATCACTCCATCTCTTCTCTAGCCCGTGCCGCGCCCGCTTAGCCCCCTCGATCCGGCCGAACAAAAGCTGTTTCGGCATGCGGTGGCTGGGCATGCGGGCTACATGACCCAGCCAACGCAGCCTTGCCCGCCGGAGGAGCTCACCGATGGGACTTACATAGACAAACACACAGACACTCATAGACACACAGAGACTCATAGACACGCTGGTGAATGGTTTCAACATATCACTGTCTCATCAGCAGCAGCAGCAGCAGGGTGATCTTCCCAGATGATTATAGACAGATAATGGTTTCAACATATCACTGTCTCATCATCATCATCATCAGCAGCAGGGTGATCTTCCCAGATGATTATAGACAGATAATGGTTTCAACATATCACTGTCTCATCATCATCATCATCAGCAGCAGGGTGATCTTCCCAGATGATTATAGACATAATGGTTTCAACATATCACTGTCTCATCATCATCATCAGCAGCAGGGTGATCTTCCCAGATGATTATAGACAGATAATAGTTCCACATATCACTGTCTCATCATCAGCAGCAGGGTGATTCTTCCCAGATGATTATAGACAGATAATAGTTTAAACATATCACTGTATCATCATCATCAGCAGCAGGGTGATCTTCCCAGATGATTATAGACAGATAATAGTTTCAACATATCACTGTCTCATCATCATCATCAGCAGCAAGGTGATCTTCCCAGATGATCATAGACAGATAATAGTTTCAACATATCACTGTTTCATCATCAGCAGCAAGGTGATCTTCCCAGATGATTATAGACAGATATTGGTTTCAACATATCACTGTCTCATCATCATCATCAGCAGCAGGGTGATCTTCCCAGATGATCATAGACAGATAATAGTTTCAACATATCACTGTTTCATCATCAGCAGCAAGGTGATCTTCCCAGATGATTATAGACAGATAATGGTTTCAACATATCACTGTCTCATCATCAGCAACAGCAGCAGCAGGGTCAGCTAAGAATCAACGCTGGTGACCTCCCCAGATGATTATAGACAGATAATGGTTTCAACATATCACTGTCTCATCATCAGCAGCAGGGTGATCTTCCCAGATGTTTATAGACAGATTATAGTTTAAACATATCACTGTCTCATCAGCAGCAGCAGCAGCAGCTAGGTGATCTTCCCAGATGATTATAGACATAATAGTTTCAACATATCACTGTTTCATCATCAGCAGCAGGGTGATCTTCCCAGATGATTATAGACAGATAATAGTTTAAACATATCACTGTCTCATCATCATCATCAGCAGCAGGGTGATCTTCCCAGATGATTATAGACAGATAATAGTTTCAACATATCACTGTCTCATCATCATCATCAGCAGCAAGGTGATCTTCCCAGATGATTATAGACAGATAATAGTTTCAACATATCACTGTTTCATCATCAGCAGCAAGGTGATCTTCCCAGATGATTATAGACAGATAATAGTTTCAACATATCACTGTTTCATCATCAGCAGCAAGGTGATCTTCCCAGATGATTATAGACAGATAATGGTTTCAACATATCACTGTCTCATCATCAGCAGCAGGGTGATCTTCCCAGATGATTATAGACAGATAATGGTTTCAACATATTACTGTCTCATCATCATCAGCAGCAGGGTGATCTTCCCAGATGATTATAGACAGATAATAGTTTCAACATATCACTGTCTCATCATCATCATCAGCAGCAGGGTGATCTTCCCAGATGATTATAGACAGATAATGGTTTCAACATATCACTGTCTCATCATCAGCAGCAGGGTGATCTTCCCAGATGATTATAGACAGATAATGGTTTCAACATATCACTGTCTCATCATCATCAGCAGCAGCAGGGTCAGCTAAGAATCAACGCTGGTGACCTGTACGCCAATTTATATTTTGCACAAGTTCTAATGAAATATACGTGCACGTGTGAAGTTTCGTGTACGTGTGTGTGTGTGTGTACACGTGTGTGTGTGTGTACGTGTGTGTGTGTACACGTGTGTGTGTGTACACGTGTGTGTGTACACGTGTGTGTGTACACGTGTGTGTGTGCACGTGTGTGTACACGTGTGTGTGTGTACGTGTGTGTGTGTACACGTGTGTGTGTGTACATGTGTGTGTACGTGTGTGTATGTACACGTGTGTATGTACACGTGTGTGTGTACACTGTGTGTGTACACGTGTGTGTGTGTGTACACACACACACACACCCGGCCTGCCGAACTTAATAATAATATTTAATAATATTATTAAATTAAATTTTACCTTTCTTCTGTAATGCCCCCATTTGCCCATCAGATGGCGCACTTTGACCCGGGGAGTTTAAGACGTGTTTTTTTTTCTATCGTTCGTTGTTCGTGCAATTTGTCAAATTGCCTTGCAAATAAACGCCTTGCTACCTGTCAAAGGCCAAAACCCCCCCTCTTGTCATGTAATGATTATTTTTAACACGTCATTTATGTTTAGATTCGCACGAACGCTCCCACCCATCCACCTGTTACCTGGCCCGGCCTACCCTCCGTCAAATTTCATAACCCACTGGGGCCCGCGGGTCCAAAACGTTTGCCCGCCCCTGCTACGCTGTGCGTGTGCGTCTGTGTGTGTGTGTGTGTCTGTGTGTATGTGTGTGTGTGTCTGTGTGTGCGTCTGTGTGTGTGTGTCTGTGTGTATGTGTGTGTGTGTCTGTGTGTGCGTCTGTGTGTGTGTGTCTGTGTGTGTGTGTGCGTGCGTGTGTGCGTCTGTGTGTGTGTGTCTGTGTGCGTGTGTGTCTGTGTATGTGTGTGTGTCTGTGTGTGTGTGTGTGTCTGTGTGTGTGTGTGTGTCTGTGTGTATGTGTGTGTGTGCGTGCGTGTGTGTCTGTGTCTGTGTGTGTGTGTCTGTGTCTGTGTGTGTGTGTGTGTGTGTATGTGTGTCTGTGTGTGTGTGTCTGTGTGTGTGTGTACGCGCCCGTGCGTTGGGAGCGGTGGGAGTGCGGTGGTTCAGCGCCACGCACAGGCGCTGCGAAAACCCGTCCACCCCGAGCACGATTCCCGCTCGCGGCCAACACCGGCGGTGACGATTATCTGAACCAAGGACGCCGCTGGCACTGGCGGTGAGACAAAGGGCGGCCGGGCGTGTTTTGTGGTGGCCGTCCACCACCTCCCGCGTGCGTCCACAGTGCCAGTGGCCTCCGTAGCTGCTGCTTGCTTGCTGCTGCTGCTTGCTGCTGTTGCTTGCTCGCTGGCAGCACTTGCCCCAGCAGTCTGCCGGAGTGCCACGCGGATGGACCTTTGTCCCCGCCACCAAGCGGCTGTGCCCCTCGACGACACCCGTGGCCACGACGGCAACGTGCCAACGGGGGCACTCTGACCCCGTCCACCTTCACAGCGGGGCGCCACGGAGAACGGAGAACGGAGAACGGAGATCCAGACCAAAGCCTGTGCCAGAAGGCCCCGGAGAGAGGGGTGGGCGGGTGGGGGGGGGGGTTGTCCGTGACGTCTCTTGGCCGAACCCCCTGCTTGGCGGAGCCAGGAGACTGAACCCCCCCCCCCCCCTCCCCCCGCCCCAGAAAGGGCAAATGGTCACTGCGGTGGCCGCGCGGAACGGCCGAGCTCTCGATGCGGGCGGAGAGGCTGCCCACGTGCTCTGTCGGGAGCTGGAGCGGCAGCCAGCCTGGATCTCTACGGAGTAGGGAGGGTGGAAGTTGGACTTGATCTGATTCTGTGTGTGTGGTGGAGGACGGGGAGAGGCTGCCACTGCCTCTGTCGGGGAGCTGGACCGGTACCTAGGCCTGGATCTCTACGGAATAAGGGAGGGTGGAAGTTGACTTAATCTGATGTCTGTGTGGAGGAGGAGGAGGAGGAGAGGCTGCCACTCCTCTGTCGGGAGCTGGACCGGTACCCGGCCTGGATCTCTGCGGAATGAGGGAGGGTGCAAGTTGACTTTATCTGATGTCTGTGTGTGTGGTGGAGTACGAGGAAGGCTGCCACTCCTCTGTCGGGAGCTGGGACCGGTACCGCCTGGATGTCTGCGGAATAAGGGAGGGTACAAGTTGACTTGATCTGATGTCTGTGTGGAGGAGGAGGAGAGGCTGCCACTCCTCTGTCGGGAGCTGGATCGGTTACCGCCTGGATCTCTACGGAGTAAGGGAGGGTGGAAGTTGACTTGGTCTGATGTCTGCGTGTGGTGGAGGACGGGGAGAGGCTGCCACTCCTCTGTCGGGAGCTGGACCGGTACCCGCCTGGATATCTACGGAATAAGGAGGGTGGAAGTTGACTTGATCTGATGTCTGTGCGTGTGGTGGAGGACGGGGAGAGGCTGCCACTCCTCTGTCGGGAGGCTGGACCGGTACCGGCCTGGATCTCATACAGGAACTCGGGAGGGTGGAAGTTGACTTGAATCTGATGTCTGTGCGTGTGGTGGAGGACGGGGAGAGGCTGCCACTCCTCTGTCGGGAGCTGGACCGGTACCGCCTGGATCTCTACGGAAATGAGGGAGGGTGCAAGTTGACTTGATCTGATGTCTGTGTGGAGGAGGAGGAGGACGAGGAGAGGCTGCCACTCCTCTGTCGGGAGCTGGACCGGTACCGCCTGAATCTCTACAGAGTAAGGGAGGGTGCAAGTTGACTTGATCTGATGTCTGTGTGTGTGGTGGAGGACGGGGAGAGGCTGCCACTCCTCTGTCGGGAGCTGGACCAGTACCATGGGGGGTGGACAGTCCTCCACTCGGGGCAGGAGACTGCCAAACGACAGGGGGTGGCTCTGATTCTGAGCTAAAATAATGAAGGGGGCGTGGGAGCGTGGCGGTGAGGTGTGGGAAGCTGTAAAGGGCTTGCCTCGCCATCACCACACAATCAGCACACAATCAGCACACACTCACCACACAATCACCACATACCATACACTCACCATACACTCACCATACACTCACCACACAATCACCACATACCATACACTCACCACATACCTTACACTCTCCATACACTCACCATACACTTACCACACACTCACCGTACACTCACCACATACCATACACTCACCATACACTCACCACTCACCACACACTCACCACACAATCAGCACACACTCACCACACAATCACCACATACCATACACTCACCACATACCATACACTCTCCATACACTCACCATACACTTACCACACACTCACCGTACACTGACCACATACCATACACTCACCATACACTCACCACACACTCACCACACAATCAGCACACAATCACCACATACCATACACTCACCACATACCATACACTCACCACACACTCACCACACACCACACTCAACAAATACAATAAACACTCACCACACACCCACACACCGTCCACTCACCACACACTCACCATACACTCACCATACACTCACCACACACCATACACTCACCACATACCATACACTCACCACATACCATACACTCACCACACACTCACCATACACTCACCACTCACCACACACCACACAATCACCACATACCATACACTCACCATACACTCACCACTCACCACACACTCACCACACACTCACCACATACCATACACTCACCACATACCATACACTCACCACACACTCACCACACACCACACTCAACAAATACAATAAACACTCACCACACACCACACACCGTCCACTCACCACACACTCACCACACACTCACCATACACTCACCACACACCATACACTCACCACATACCATACACTCACCACATACCATACACTCACCACACACTCACCATACACTCACCACTCACCACACACCACACAATCACCACATACCATACACTCACCATACACTCACCACTCACCACACACTCACCACATACCATATACTCACCACATACCATACACTCACCACACACTCACCACACACCACACTCAACAAATACAATAAACACTCACCACACACCACACACCGTCCACTCACCACACACTCACCATACACTCACCATACACTCACCACATACCATACACTCACCACATACCATACACTCACCATACACTCACCATACACTCACCACACACCACACACTCAACAAATACAATAAACACTCACCACACACCGTCCACTCACCACACACTCACCACACAATCACCACACACTCAACAAATACCATAAACACTCACCACTCACTCACCACACACTCACCACACACCACACACTCACCACACACCACACGATCACCACACACTAAACAAATACCATGAACACTCACCACACACTCACCATACACTCACCACTCACCACACACTCACCATACACTCACCACACAATCACCACACACTCAACAAATACCATAAACACTCATCACTCACCACACACTCACCACACACTCACCACTCACTCAACTGGTCACGTGGTTCTATAAAGGACGTGAGTCACGTGGTTCTATAAAGGACTTTAGTCACGTGGTTCTATAAAGGACGTGAGTCACGTGGTTATATAAAGGATGTGAGTCACGTGGTTCTATAAAGGACGCGAGTCACGTGGTTCTATAAAGGACGTGAGTCACGTGGTTCTATAAAGGACGTGAGTCACGTGGTTCTATAAAGGACGTGAGTCATGTGGTTCTATAAAGGATATCAGTCACGTGGTTCTATAAAGGACGCGAGTCACGTGGTTCTATAAAGGACGTGAGTCACGTGGTGCTATAAAGGAAGTGAGTCACGTGGTTCTATAAAGGACGTGAGTCACGTGGTGCTATAAAGGAAGTGAGTCACGTGGTTCTATAAAGGACGTGAGTCACGTGGCTCTATAAAGGACGTGAGTCACGTGGTTCTATAAAGGACGTCAGTCACGTGGTTCTATAAAGGACGCGAGTCACGTGGTTCTATAAAGGACGTGAGTCACGTGGTTCTATAAAGGATTGAGTCACGTGGTTCTATAAAGGACGTCAGTCACGTGGTTCTATGAAGGACGTGAGTCACGTGGTTCTAT